ATTCAAAAAGTAACTACATTAGTTTCTGTATAATTTTATAAATTCTAACTATGTATTTATTTATTTCAGAAGTAAAAAATTTATAATTAAAATATAAGTTTGTAATTTTAATTTTATTATGTGTTCCAAATTCTATAGTATCCTAATCATGAGAATTTATTTATTAACTAATTTTAGTATAAGTTTATGCTTATTAATATTTTATATTTGACTAATTAAGATGATGTGGTTGATGAAATAAAAATTAATACAAAAATAATAATATACAGTTAATTATAACAGATTCAAAGGTTATTTCATATCCCAGTTTCGAAAAAAAAAAGAGTTCAAAATTTAATTTAATAGCAATCTTTTTATTTGTGCTCCATGTTTTTTAATAAGTAAAGGCAGTTTAATTTGATAATTGAATAATAAAAAAATATTAATTTAAAATACATTTTAAAATTATTTTATGCTGAAATTTTTAATTAAAAAAATAAAATAAATTTTTGTAGTTTCATTTGAAGTTAGAAAGTTTTAAAAAGTTAAAATACAATTTTAGTATGAGTTCAAACAATTTGAAAAAAAATTAAGTTCGAGTTCTTGAAAATTTAAGTTTGACTTATTTATAATTTTAATAATATATAAAAAGTACAATGGCTAAATTAGCTTCAATTTATATGAACTCTGCAAGATCAATAATATTTTTTTATGTCATATTACATAAATTATTTACAAATCATAACACAATAATACAGTATATATGATTTTAGAAGAGTTCTTTTTTTTAAATTTTTTTCACCCTTTACATGTCTTATTAGTTATTAATAGAGTTGACCATTCTTGTCCTTTATCTTCGTAGGTTTCCGTTTCCTACAATTGTTTAATTCATACCAGCTACTTTTTCGTGTCATTTTCTATTCTGTCAATCCATATCTTATTTATTTTGGTTTTTCTCTTCTTTCTTAACTATTTTTATTATGTTTTCTAAACAAATAATTATAATAATATAATAGACTTAATGGATAATTCATTTACATGCAACGAAATATGATTTAAAGATTTAAATAAGTTATAACCATCTATATTTTATACTATTTTATACCGGATGGAAAAAATTTTCTCTTTCCATTTATTTTGTTAGCAATTAATGGAAATATATTATTGTCCACTTATACCATGTGTTTTATTTGGTGTACATAACGTAAAATAAAAAAATGTTCATAATTGTTTAGAGTAAATAATAAAAATCCGGTTATTTGTTACAAATAAATTCATATTGTTAAAGTTTTATAAAAATTATATAATTTGAGTTTTCTAAGGTCCTGAAATTTTTATAGAGGTTTATAGCTTGTTTGTAAATACTCAGATTATAGTGAAATATACGTGTTTCATAAAATGATTAGTTCGCAATGTTCGCATCAAATTCTCAAAGCTAAATATAGACATGCAGTCAATAACGAAAAAGTGTAGTTAGCCGCAATGCAGTTATCGACTTTACAAATATTAAAATAAATCCTGAAGTAAATTTAATGATAACATATTTAAATTTTATTATTTCGAATTTTAAGCTAAACTATCATACGTGGTCATAATTTATACATTTCTATAAAGTATATTATATAATATAAAAACATATATTTAATGTGTGTGGTGTACTGGTGTGCAATACTATAAAACCAATATAAAGTATTGTATATTTCATGTAATTTAATATTATTTTAAATCTATTAAAATACTAAGTATTTTGTGCTTGGGAACAAATAAAATAATGAAAAATAGTAAGCCATTAATATAAAGTATAAATAATCAAAATTAGATAAAACCCAGAGATAAAATTATCATAGTTAATATTAAAATAAAATGTATCACTGCAGTGCACATTATATTTTCTATTAAATTATGATTATCAATGAGTATAAGACACTTATTAAGAGATGTGCACATTGCTCATGCTTACCTGTTCATTTATTATTCAGTATTTAGTATTATGTCATACATTAATTAATATAGATTATAAAATTAAAATCATTGAATTTTAAGAGTATTATAATATTGCTTTATTTAAATTATTATAAATATATTATTATTATGATTCAAATATTACAGACAGTAAGTAGTTAATACTAGACAGAAGCGTATGTAGGATTTTATTTTAAAACTGAAATCGTTTTTCTTCGGTTAAATAAGTATCAAATTTGTTCTAAACTTGAACTTCTAATGTTTATAAAAAAAAAAAAATTAAGTTTAGGTATATATTTTTTAGATTTTTGGTTTTAATATTAACTACTTATGAATCATTTTGTATTAAATGTTTAAGTCTTTTAGGTTTAATGGGTGTGATAAATTTAAATTTAATGATATAATATTATTGTATATGAAAAACACTTATATAAATGGAGAGGTAAAGACGTTCTATTAATAATATAATAAATATAATTTATACAATATTAAATCAATATTATTAACTTTTGAGCAAATTACATCTTGCCGTAAAACAATATTAATAAGTCCGTGCTATAAATAGGTAATATCTTAAAATTAATCTACATATTTGAAAATTTCATTGTATATAGAAAAAAAAGGTACTTTATGTAAAAGTTTTAAATTCCCATGAATAATGTTTTTAGAATATAATACGATATTGAATATTGTTATTCATCGTTTAAATATGTAATTTAATTTAAATTTAAACTTGAAATATCTAAAAAAAAAAAAATAATAATGTTTAAACATTTTTTAATTCTTTAGTTCCAGTAAAACTACTTATGATAAATATTGTATCAAATATTTAATCCTTAACTAAAAAAATTGAAGATTTTATACATTTTTAACTATAAATTAATTTGAAAAATTCGTTAAAATTTTAACTTAAAATTCTTATAAAAATGAATTGTGAATGTAGACGCTCAACTTTTTTTATTTCTATTAATAAAAACTCATGACTTAATATTAATTTTTTCAAGCTTTTTGTTTAAACCGAAACTTTTTTTGTTGAATTTAAAAAAAACTAAAAAATAATATTTATTTTTAAATTATAACAATAAAAAAGAAATCAATTATGTCAAAAACTCATTATGCGTAAACATTTTACTTTTTCCTAAATTTTTTTTTTTTCCCTCTATTATTTTAAAAAACACTAAGAATTTTTAATTTTGACTTTTTATAAGTACAAAACCACCCACGACGTTGAAGATTAAAGCATTTTTCAACTATTTATCGAGTAAAAAGAAATACATCATTGTAAAATTAATATAAATTTATCGCTTGGCTTGGGAACTATGAAAATGATAAAACCTATTATTAAATACTTATATATTTCTTATATTTTGTTTATTATTATTGAGACAATTATAGATTTATTATTTATCAATATTCTAATACAGTTTTAAAATGTTCCGATTACTTTACAGCTAATAAAATCTACACGTTTAGATATTATATAAAATATACACCAGAGTGTAGGATAACAGTATACGTTCACTAATAACAATCAATCTGTAACGCAGGTGACTGTATACATACATATATAATGTAATAGATGTATAGCATAACTATAACGACCTCGCTGGTCAGGAATACACATAATATTATACGTAGTAGAATTATTTTTTTGAACAAAAGAACAGCAACGAATGACGACGATATAGGTATTTGTAATTATGAAAACGATACGCTCAGGAAAAAAAATGTACCTGTATATAACTATACTGTATACTTGATATATTATCTGTCGATGATAATATGATTAAAATTAATACTGTTAAACAGTAAAATTGCAATCGAAAACACCTGTAACAATGGTCTGTAGACTGTAAGTTGTAGGTGATGATTTTTACTATTCAGTTGACGAAATAGAATAAAACATAACTATTGGTAGTGCTTCAATTATTTATAGGTAGCACGGTGAACGGAACTCTAATTTTTTTATATATTATGTTTTGAGAATACCTCTATTAATAATTTTTTTTAGAACAGAGTGACGTTATTTTTTGCAACAATTTTTATTTTGAAAAAATTGTATTGGATTAAATAGTACAACTTATTTATATTAAGCTACTAAATTTTATCATAATAGTAAATATATTAAATGGAATTTAAATTAGTTATAATTCAAAAGAAAAATATATATTAATATTCAACTAATTAATTAAAATAATATTTTAAATGTAAATACAAGTGGCTATTGACAATGACAAACATGTTTATTTTAATCGTTCAGAAGTATGGTCATTACTGGCATAGTGGCATGATCTCATACATATATTTTAATTATTTATGTATAATTGATGGTTAAGTATGTGGTAGGCTTTGCCCTCAGCCAGTAAGGTTGAGTTAAATCATTTCAAGGGTCCCTAATTTTTTCAAGTCTAACAGTCACTGTTTTTTATTTTTACAATTTAAGCATACTATATTCAAAATTCAGCTGATGAACGGGTGGTTAAAGTTTCAATGAAAAATCAATTTAAGTAAATATGTTAATATTTTATTATACCTCTTTCAATTAATAAAAATTCAAAAAATGTAACATGTTACAATGCATTATGTAACAATTGTAATTTGTAACACAGTTGAACACTCAAACATGTCATATTTTGACAAAAAAAAGCGATCAAAAATTAAATATGTAACACAATAAACTGTGGATTTTACCAAAACATTTTTCAGCAAGCCTTTAAGATCGTAAAACATATGTGTGGGTTAAGAAGCTAAGTGTTAATCTCTCCTATATTTAAGTTGCATTGATGCATTACGACCGCTAATGCAACGAAGAGTGCATCAGATGATAAATCGCCTAAAAAGAACCCAAGAATAATAAAATATTATCTATCTGTGTACTGTGTAAAATTTTAGATGTGCACGCATAAAATAATATTGGGTAAGTATAAGGCGACTACTTATCGATTTTGTTTAGGCGGCGCAACGGCGGCACAACGGCGGCGACGGAGGCGGCGCGCGCTCGAGTAACCAAGGTCACGAGTGAACACCCGCCAGTGGCCCCGGATATTTAACTACAAGTCTGTTATATTTGGACGGACATTACCGAGCGTACCGTCGTCGCAACTACACGCGGACTACATAAAAAACGAATCGTCAATAATCCGTATCGTAATATATTATTATCATAAATTGTATTCGCGCGGCTAACCAAATTCACATTCAAAATGTTTAACTTAGGAGGAGGTGAGTGTACATATTTCACGTTTTTTTAACATTTTCTCACCATAACAATCTTATTTGTTTATACGTGATTGATATATATTTTATAACATACTATTTCATACACGCTTCGACCGAAAATCACGGAATTTGTTCGAAGCAGTACTTAGGAAATAATAACGTTTTTATAATGATTTTACATCGATTTACCTTACAGTGAACGATGAAAAAATGTTGATAAATATAATATACGTGTCACGCGACGATAGTATTATGTCGCATCATATTATTATTATAAACGCATCTTCTGTATCGCGTCTCTTCGTGCAGCCGTCGTGCGAATCATCACGATCTCGTCGAAAACCGGACAAACCGAACGCTACGGTGTACTATAATATTATTACTGCGATTTTATTATAATTTTTTACGTAGATATATTCGAGACCAACCTAACAAAAAATATTACATTGCAATTTGTAATTACCAATAATGCGTACCTCGATCGTAACTCGAAACTCCAAATATTGGGAATATGTTGCCTTTTAACCGAAAAAATGAGTTCTTTTAAAGATATCAATTATCAATTAACAGAATAAACAGTTCGCTACATAGTCGGTTATACTTGTATATACACTATATTTTTTCTAACATAATCCATATGCGTAAACCCACATGGATGCGTGTATTTTTTTAAATAAAATAATATTAAACCAGAAGATTGTAAAAGAAAATAAGGATAAATAATTGGCTTCGTAATAGAAACGTATATTAATATTCAAATTTGACGTCATTTAGTTGTTAGTCGTATAAATAGACGGGACGTATACATCTATATAAATGCATATAATATTGTATACAATAATATATAATATGTGCACGTACGAAATAATCGTATTATAATAGCGCTTCTAGTAATTATATACAACGGCTTAAGTGTATATATACATTTATTGTAGGAGTAGGCTCTTTGAATTATATTTCATGCCTAATGTACATCTTAATGTACACGGCCTTGCTGTTAGCACCGTTGATGTAGTTAATGCTTTGACAGGAAATTAACTTTTTATACTATAATATTTGTGTCCTCGCAATCGACACGAATTTGTATGATTGCATTTTACAAGCATTTGTGGAAAAATAATATTAAATTCGATTTAAACTATACAATGGTCTAAATTCTTAACTGATGAAGCTGGCGTTCGTCGATAAAACGATTAATGTTTTTTTTCGATGAATCCGATATAATGAATTTATTAAAACAGGTTTTTCACGTTGAATATACATTTTTATAATATTGTATAATAGTATAAAATAGACAAATGCAGCTGAAATAGATGATTATTACAGTCATTCTTTATATTTTTTTATGTTTATATAAACTGTAAACGCGCTTCACACAGTAACAAATTTAATACTGTTAAAAAAAAACTCCGTGGACTTCATTAAAAGAAAAACGACGAATAATGTTATACAATTGAAGAATACTTAATCCTACACATGCTTAAGGAAGTTCAACACCTAATAACAGTGCTTGGATAAGACGGATCGTTTTATGTGGGTGTCTTTGGACCAATGGATAGTTTTAAATTATCTTTTAAAACCTCAAAAGTAGTAATTATTTATGCATTAAAGTTGAACAGGACTCTGGTATCTACCTATTGGTAACAAAACATTGTTTAAAACGTATAATTCATCTTTGTTTTAGTTAGTTATTGTGATGAAGTAAAATATAAAATGTTTTGTAAAATATAATATTCATTTAGGTAATATAATATAGTTCAGAATGTTGTCTAGGTATCTGATTTCGAAACTTTACTTAATTGCGAAACACGGCTATTTACAAACAATCCACGTTTGACGTTTTATTATAATTAATATACTCATCAAACAATTGAATCTATCAAATTAATTGATATTTTTCTTTTATAGCTATGAAAAATATTACAGCAAAGGCCGAAGAATTAGTAGATGAAAAGAAGCATGCTGCAACTTCACTTCTTGAAAAACAAGTATGTTAATATTATAATGATTAACTAGCAATACCATTTCATAAAATAATCATGATATATTTGGTCAATACAGTGGATTTTCTCATTTTTATGAATAGTTTGGTTTTCACACATTTTAATCATTATAAGAAAGTAATATATATTATTAAGAAATTGATTTTTTTTTAAAATCATTAATCAAAATTTTCCAGATAAAAAAAATTATTGATGATAATTAATTTTTTTTTCATTATATGCATAAACGATATTAAAAAATAATAATATCTGCATTAGCAACAAGTAATTAAGTACTTAGGTATTTATTATTTGCAGTTATTTCAGTTGTGTATAAATACTCGACTAAAATTTATATTTTATTTGTATCAAACAGTATTATAAACATCATATTACCTATAATAATTGTTTGCTTTTAGATAATAGAATTCAGCTTATGAATTAAATCTGTACATTATTTTCAAAAAATATTTGTTAAATCAAAACTAATTCCAATTTATTTCTACTTAATTTTTGAAAATAAACATTTAAAATGTTCTATTGAAATTCACAACTAGGAATATAATTTATTTATCACAAAAACACTATATTTGAGAAATACAGAATAAATTGTAATTTTGACCTTGTGAACGACAAGGTTCGAATGATGTGACATTAATCTTAGTTAAAAAAAATAAAAATGAATAAATTATATATTAAAAAACAGACTAGTCAATATGTTATAAGACATCCTATCCAAAATATATGTTGAATTTGCATAACAACTTTTATTAAATCATAAACTTCATACAAACCTTATATTTTCATGGGGTAATTTCCAGTATTACGGGCACACAGATTCTACTCCCGTCAAAATAATATTAGTAATCAATACATCTATGAATGTAAAAAATCATCCTCCTATCTATATGTTTTTAAACTCTAACATTAAATCATCTAATAATTTATTTTAATGAATAATTTTTAATTATACGGTTTACAATTTTTAATTGTGAATATTGTTAAAATTTATCACTATGAGTCTATTAGATTAATTTTTCAGTGATTTATAAATCATAAAATCTTATACAAAATAATGGAATTTATAAATATTTTACAAATTGTATAAATCAAATAGATGTAATAAAAAAAAATATACATATAATTGAGCAATAGCTTAAAATTTCAAATTTTAATATACATTTTACAAAATTTGTTAGTATTTTATTACAAATGAAAAATTGTTATTGTGAATCTAGTTAAATTTTAAGCTTGAGATATTATTTTTGATTATTACCTCCTTTCGTCTAAATATTTCTGTAATATGTATGTAACTTAAAATAAGTAAATGAATTACGTTGATGTGATAATCAATTACATATATATCTATCATATAAAAAATGAGTAGTCCACTTCATATTTAAATTGAAATTTTTGCTTCCCCACTAACTAGTCATTAAAAATGTATAAATTGAATCTATTATTAAAGATAATATATAATAATATTATACTATAAAAGAATAAAATCTTTCTCTGGGATTTTTGATGACATAGTTGTAAGTTCAAAAATAGTTGTTTTGTATACACACTTAGAAAAAAACATATTGTTTATTTAGATACCTTAATTGACTTTAATAGAAATTCATAGTATATCAAATATCAACAGAACATAGTAAATCTCTACATATAAATAAATATAATGTTATCTTAGAATATTTTGTTGAAATTCATGTAATTTAATATTAGCATGAAATATTCAATAATGGAAACATCATTCATTTGTGAAATAGATAAAAACAATCAATTATATCATGGTGGCTTTTGACATAACAATATATTTCAATAAAATTTGATGAATATTATTATATTAGATTTGATTTGATACATAATCATTTTTAATAAACTATATGAAATATATGATTAAATAATTATTAAAATAATAAATTCATTATTATTTTATTGTATCATTATACTATATAATATTGTTTTTTACAAAAAAAAAAAAAAAAAAATAGTATGACGAAGTGATATAAAGTATACACATAAATCATACACACTTGCGTTGACTATGAAATCCTTAGGTCAAAGAAACCGGTGAGTTTTTGTCTCACACACTCAACGAAGCAGAAGGCAAAGCTGTGAACGCCGCAGAAGAGGCGAAAAAGGCAGCTGTGGATGGTTTTGACCAGGAGGTCGAAAAACTTGCTGATAGTGCCTTACAGGAGGTATTAGATGGAGCTTTACGATATATTGCTAGCTGAACCTAAAAAGCTTATGTCGGAAACAACTTTTTTATTTCATTTGGAGCTTATAAACGCAACATCTATATTTATTTTGCATATTATTTTGATTATTATGCACGATTATTTTAATTTCATCTTTTTATACATTAGTAAACTTGAATCGTGTCGTATGGCTTTTTCTGTAATTATTATACATTTTTTGTAGAATTCTAAACACGATATTGGTGGTGGTGGTTTATTAGGTGGAATTAAAAATTCAATTGGTCATGTTGCTAATAAAATAGAGGTCAGTATAATGTAAAATAACATTTAATGCAAGTGTATACGAGTTTTTACGAAGAGATCGGACAAATATGTTTTAAAAGTCAAAACCATTTAAGTACAATTTAAATAATTTTTTTTATTGCAGGTAGAAATTTTTTATTATTATTTTACTACATGAAAAAAATATTACTGACAATTTATTGTTAAGGTTTGATTAGTGATTATTATTATATTATAATATTATATTGGTAATATTTAACATTTTATTATTAATTTGTTTTCAAGTGTATTTATGGATATTAGTTAGTCTTTAGAAAACTATAATGATAAATATCTTAGTTTTGTTAGTAAAAAATCTTATTTTAATATTGTTTATTATTATAATATTGTAGGTTAACCGGTATAAATTTATTTATTGTTTAAATAAATAAACTTTATATGCTATAGAAAACAAAAACGTAAACTCTAGCTTGTACTTATTTATTATTTTATGAAGAATGTGTTTCATTTAATTTTTTTTTATTGATATTATTTAAATTTTTTATCAAGTGCATTTACAATTATTGTATATTTGTATATTATTATTATCTATTTTGTTACGTTCTTTACTACTTATTATCTATTGTGTTTTTAGAATAATTATTTTATGATTTAATTGCAAACGAAACTTCGAAATTATTAAATACAAACTACATACTAAATATTACTACACAATATTATATTACGTATATAACTTTACATTGTATAATGTTATAGTCTGGTGGTAGTCATGCGGGCCTTGATTTGGGTTCGCTGATCGGAAATACGGTCAAAAATGCCATAGCAACTCCAAAATCTGTAAGAAATCGTTTAGTGTTCTGTGTTTAAATTTTAAATGGATTGTTAACATGTTTGTCGGTTTCTCAAAGTATAAAACTCGCATATAACAATAATACAATAATCTATACTTATATAATATATAGCCAAGTTCAATGTTTTAATTTTAACTTTACTTGTGTGCACGTGTGTTTGAATTCGTGTAATATTTTAGAATAAAGTCGAAAATTCAGTTGTCGGTAAGGTAGCGCATTCGGTAGGGAATAAAGCTAACGAAGTGACTAGTAAAGCTCACGAAGCCGCCGGTGGTATACTCGGTGCAGTGATGGATGTCGGCGGTAAGGTACAGGGAGTCGCCAATATGATGCAAAGCACTACTATCGGAATGGTGAGTACGGCGCAAGGGATGGTTGGCACACTAGGTGTTGTAGCCGGAGGAATGTTCAGCGTAGTGGGTAGTATGTCCAGCGGTATAAATGGCATATTTAACGGAAGTCTCGCTGCATCAAAGATGGCCATATTGTTAGCCACTAAAATTTTACCTTTGGCCACTAAGGTCTTACCTCTAGCCACTACCGTTCTCAGACAGACGTCAAAAGTCACAGGATTGATACTCGGCAAAGTGGTTCCCAAGGTATGAGTCAACGACTAACCTTCCCTTCCACCAAAACACACCCTCTCACAAAAACAATGAATATTATTTTGAAAAAAAATATGGTCCGAAGAATCAGAGTCAAAATAAAAAGATATTGGATTGTGATTTTTATTTACAAGTACCTATCAGATATTTTGAAATAAAGTGGCTCCATTATATTATAAAATAATCAATTTCGATGACTTAAACTTTTAACTTGATTCTAACAGGTTAGGTTTGATTTCCCTCGTCAGGGTCAAGTCAAATATTAGGTCATAATGAAGTTTATTTTGTATCTGTCAGAGTTCCAATATGAATTATGATTTTTATTTTATTTTACAATGTACTAACTGAAATTTTTCAAGACAATTTGAATAAACTTATTGTATAATAATTATATAATGTTCATCACTATTATTGTACAGTTTTTCTTTTAAATATATCAATGTTACATAATATCATAATTAATTTAAACCTGTACAAACAATATTCGTAACAGTAAAACATGGCCATATTTTTTTTAAGTAAGTTCAAACAACTATGATATTAGAATAAAAAAAATCATATTTGTTTCTAATAAATCGTCAAAAATTTAAAAAACACCAGTTATTCTTTAACACATAGAATTTCAGTTTAGTCCTGAATACAGATGAACTAATATTTTATGTGAAACTACCCAAATTCTGACTGTGAAATGAGTAGTTGAAATTCTTTGGACCTATATCTATATAATATTTGTACAGGAAAGTCATAAAATAAATAGTTGCTATAATATATATGTGTGAAAGATTACGACACTTAAATTAAAAGATATCGAAATTATTGAGAATTAAAGATCAAATGGAGGTATAAACTGTATATATTAATATTGTAAAAAACGTACGTGGAATATAGATGGAAATGTGAGTAAGTATAGAGAATTGTTCTGCAGAAACAACACATAGGTACATTAACACGCATTAACACACCATTATCCCCGAATAACATGCACTTTGCTTTAAAGCTTGTTTGTTTAAATGTTTGTTATTTTTTTAGTTGGTTGATCGGGCCTCTAACTGTGTAATACAATAAGCACATTAAAATGGTACGGATTTGAAATCAATAATGGTTGAATCTATAATATGTAACTGAACTGCCAGGAACGATATATTTTATTGTATTTATTTTCTGTATAATCTCTAAAATATAATATCGTACTCTTAAAAAATAAAAATAAAACATTGTCCTATGACCTATAATATTATAGAAACGAGCTTATTATTATAATGTTTTGACGTCTTGTACCCACAAATTTTAAAGCCCAAACCTAAAAAGGTGCTATAAATGTGTGACATGATTTTGTTTGTTGTTTTTTTTTTCATATTACCTACTATATATTGTTGTTTATACTTAAATAAATATACGTTTTATATAAATCAGTAATAACAGTTTTAACTGTCTACAAACAGATTGCATATATCATCATTATCTCGTTACAAATAAAATTATATTCCTCGAAAATTCATTAGTCAAATAAAATAACGAAAGTCGGGATATTTATAAATAATGATATATTATAACAATTTTATTGATTTCAAAATCTTATCAAAGTTTATTTGATTTATTTGTTAATAAATTTTCTTCGACAGGCTGTTAAAAATAAAGCATCCGAAATGTAGATAATCATTATTATAATACAGTTAATTAATAGCCTTATTATTTCATTACTAATAATGTTATGTGAACATTAACTATCAAAGGTGTCGCGTCGGTAGTTTGCTAAAAACTAAAAATTTTGATACCAAATAAATTTTAACATTGAAATAAATAAAGGATAACCAGAATAATATTAAATATCAAACATGATGCAATATAAAAAAGAGTTAAGATATGATTGTCAAAAAAAAAAAAAAAAACTATTGATAATAATATAGATCATATTTTACAGAGTGCTTTACCAAGCATGATTACCTTCGTCTTATCCTTTAGTAAAGCATTACTCAAATTCTAATTGTTATAATTTTTTAGTGTACATATAAAGTCCAGATTTTCAAGAATGTAGATTTTTATACCATTTAAGCAATGACAATAAAAACTTAATAACGCGAAATTATGGTATTTTTGTACTTTTTTTTCTTAAAACTTTTAAGATCCAGAATTTTAATAAAAAATATAAGGGAAGTGAACATATCTGTAGATCACATCTTTTTAATTATAATATATATTATAAAATAATAAATTAAACCATTATCAAGACACCATAGTTAATTAATATAAAACTATTTAGAATACTTATTGTATTACCGCTCAAATTTGAACACAATAATACTGCACCAAAGCTACTATTTTTCTGTTATTTAATTTAAACGCTTTTTTATTTGGAGCATCAAATGCATTAAATGCAAACAGCTATAAAGAATACATTTTGATTGATATGAAAAAAAAAAACAGGGCACAAATATTTCGAGAAACTAAAATAGTACGTCTGTTGGTACTTACACCAATACACCATAGAAAGTTTATATGAAATTCAATAAAATAACTGTAGTAAGTAGCTTCTGGTTAATCTTATGTCTTGATGAATAATAATAATAAAAAAAATTGATAGTTTAAAAAAATAATTTCCAAGACGTCATAGGCGTGCAAGTATAAAAATATCCTGCGTTTCTTGTTCTTAATAATCGCGTGGAATTTTATATTCGAACAATACGGTCGTGGCGTATGATCGATGCACGGAATGTGGGTTAGACGTACGAACTAATGCTATATCATTACAGTGTTTTATTTTTTCCATACATTATTTCCCGAGTTTCCAAGGCTATTATAATCGGCGATTCGTTCATTTAAATGACCACTGAATCGCGTGATGGAGTGAATTAATTTTATATTGTTTAAACTGGAATTCGGTCATTTATTATCGATGAAGTGTAGTTTCTATTATTTACTGTCTAGTGAAACGAATACCGACAAATAACAACATATCATGAATATAATATTTAAATAAATATGTGTGACGACTGATAATATAAATATTTCATAATTTTTATATTGCTTTCGATGGAGTGTTTTCTTTAACGTACCTAATAAAATCGTGGATATTCATATCACATATAATGAAATTGTTCTCTTCAGTCAAATTATATAATATGTGCTTATTTAGATTATCTATTATCTAAATGAATCCATTAATGTGTATCAGTTTTTGAACTTTCAAATTAATTAATGTATAGGTACTATAGGTATTAGTGATTTATAAATAGTATTTAAATATCAGAGTTAATATTTTTTACACATTTAAATACTTAATATGTTAAAAAAATACCTACCTAGCACATAGTATGATTTTAATATTAATAATAAATTATAGCCAATAAAATACAAAAGGTATCTATTTAAAAAAAAAAAACAGTAACCAAATGTCAAATATAAATTATATATCTTTGGCAAAATAGTATCAATCAATATTGTGTTCATATGTAAGCCATAGTTATTAATTTGGTATTATAGAAAAAAAACCCTCTTAAAAGGTAGTCATTGAAATTAAATTTACAATAACCATCCATCGAACTATATTATCTCTTTAATCGAATATTAATGAGATATTTAATGTCAGATTATACTAATATCATTAATAGATATTAAATGGTTTTACAATTAATGATTGATAAAGTATTCAAACACTAATTAATGAATTTATTTCATAAAGAATATTTAAACATGTATTGCTAGACTTTAATTATTTTTTATTAGTTGTTTAATTTCAAATATCTAAAGACCTTTTGACCTTTATTTAAAACTGAAGGAGACCTTTTAATCGTTTATATCACTTTTTATTAAATATCAATAATATGCTTATAAAGCTTAAATTATATTAAATTATTTAAAAAATTAAAAATTTATATATAATTTATATTAAAAACATAATTGTTACAAATTATAGATTTATGCATTATTATTGTTGCACGCTTTTATAATATAATGCTGCATGCAAACGGTAATAGGCAATTTACTGAGTGTTATTATAATTTAGTTTAATGATATTGTAAAAATAATAAAAAACGATACTCAAACTGCACCAACTGTATACACATAGGATAACTTTTACTTATTTATGTATTATATTATGGTAATAAAATATTACTCGATTATTTCAATTTTATGCTCGAATTGTGTCAAAAGTAAAAATATAATTATTATTTTGTTTTATTTGTTTTTGATGACATAATACAATAAAGAATATCGTATTGACTTATAAAATCACACAATAGTTATTGTGTATGGCGCAAGGCTACTATTGGAATAATTATCTATTTTTAAACAGCTTTTCTTCATTCTGTAAAATAATGGTAATAATAACAATAAATAATAATGTGTATTGATGTACTATATCATATGAAATAATCAAGAGTATATATTTTATTATTTATACCGTGTCCCATGTTAAATACATCGAATATGTCTGTAGATACTTGCAAATCAAATATAGGTACGCACCTACGTTCGAGTCGTTTTAAAAACAGGTACCGGTAATAGAATAGTACATTGTAGATCCAAACGTAATAGGAAATAAATAAATCATAGTAATATAGAAATAAGACGGAATAAAAGTTCTAAGATGTGTAAACGTATAATTCTAATACTACTGTCGCGTACCTACGTTTATGGCGTGCCTATGTGTATGCCTCCTACGAATCTTTACAAGCGTATGTGAAGTGTCATATTATTATGCGTTATTATGTATTTTAATATAGTGAGGGGTCAAAAGGGCCACCATCACCCACTAATTTTGTTTCTTCCTATAATATGGACGTATGGACATACATAAATTACTATAATACATTATAATCCATTTAACATAAAATATTTATTATTTTATAAAACACTTAGATTTTTGAAAATATTTTTTTTATCTAACTTGAAGTTGTTTTAAGACAAAATTTTTGGAAAATATGATAGTTTTTACTATTTTTTTATCGCAGTCATTTTTTAACTTTTACTGTTTTGAATGATAACATACATTTTAAATTTTATATTTTGAAGCAGAATATTAATCGGAGTATTTTGAACTATAAAAATTAAAAATTGGACAAGTGGTTTATATTTTTTTTTTTTTGGAAAATGGAAAGTCATAAATTATTGAAAGTACAATATACATTTTTTCACATTTTTCTCATGTACAAGAAAAATATATTTATATAATAGAAAAATAAGCAATATGATTTCAATAAAAAACACAAATATGTGAACGAAAACGCGTATTTAAATTTTCAAAATGTGTATACGTTATCGGTTGTTATCACCTATGACATCAAACAATTAATTCCATTCATTTCCAATAATTTGGCTATTTTTCTTAATAATGCCAAACGCATTGTACTGCAACTATTATTATCGGATTCGTCATATTTACGTTTCAGAGTCAGACCAAATACCGTTTGCATATTTTTGCTATTTTTTGGACATTACCCAAATTTATTTGGTGTTTTTAATCTTTAAAAATGTACTTTTTTAATGCTTTAACTTCTGAACATAGAGTATTAAGTATTCAACATTTAAATGAGTAGGAGTAGGAATCCAATATTTTAAAGGATATTGTTTTACCCTACTCTACTCTGCTCATAAAAGATTTAAATATTTATAAATCATACACTACTCTTCCAAAATCGATTTTTATACATCGAGAATATATGTTTTCAATCAATTTTCAAAAATAATAACGATAAAACACACTTAAAAATATATGTTTTTCTAGAAAAACTTTGTTTTTAATCATTTAAAGAAAAAACATTTTAAATAATACTTTTACTAATAAATGTAGTCTTACGTTAAATGGATCTCTCAGTATAATAATAATTGATATGCCATATAGATATTAGTCATGACCTTGTAGAAAACATAGTTTTATATTTAGTGTTGAGATAATTTGTTATGTCTTCCTCTCCTCACAATAACTTATGTATTCATTTTAGGTATATAACATGTACCTACTTATAAGTAGTGAAAAATCCTAATTGCGCTGCTGCCGCGGGAGTCTCCGTATGCATATAGTATTATATTTAGCACGTCATGCATCGTGATTATTAAACAACTATCACATAGGTACAATTAACTTAGTAATTTTTTTGAAACAAATTGAATTTAATTTGTCAAAGGCACCCACGAGTTGGTGTTTTCCTATTATATAATGTACTAAGAAACGCGTTGTCATACCATATATTTTGTAGCATGGCGTTAAAATGAATCGACCATCTAATCTCCCTGGCACTCTAATGTGGATAGAAGTATAAAATATTTTAGTATGTTATGTCACCTAACATACCCTACGACGGACGGCCAATAGCGAATCGCGATATATATTTTTGTGTTTTATGTGATTCGTATTAAAAAGAATGTATAGCGGTCTTATTCGATGTATTTAATATTATGTTCACGTATTTATATATATATATATTATGCTAATCAAAAATATCAGCGATACCACGTACAGTATGATATGATCGCAATTGTACCGCAATTATTTAGATGTTTTTCCCACTAGTGCTTTTCACCACCACCTGAAAAGCCACAGCCCAGCTACACACACATCCGGCATTTTCCTCAGTATCAGTTGATAACTATCAACCACCTCCGTTCACTTAAGAAACTTATTCCATCATTAAATAATGGAACGCATTTGCGTTTTTATATTTTTACACTCTTTATCCGTGACCTGTTTAATATATATATTATAAATAACCACCAAGGTTTTTCGTACAAAACTAGTCGACTTAAATTTTCCAATCGAGTGATCCGAATGCAATTATAACAACGAAAAAATGTTGTACGATATATTTTTAACCTTTTCACCATTTAAACCCATCACTAACGCAGGCGTGGTTTGTTAGCGCGATGACATTATTATATTATATTTTAAAACAAAACCGTTCGCCCAGAGCGGGGAAACGACTTTGATATATTATTATTGAGCTGAAAATTCTCTTAACATGGCAGAAACATTTCGGATTTCCCAAAAAAATCCTTTGAAGGTTGTCACATGTACTAGTTGGTCGAACTGATCCAATGAAAATGCTTTGAATTAATTTTATCCTGCAATATTTGTACAGATTCCAAATCGTACAGATGTGCACACATTTCGAAAGTATAATATTGCGGTTAATTGTGCAAAAATAATTTTTAATGTACTAAATTTTTTATTAAAGTATTACCTAATTTATATTTAACTATAAAGTAAAAACTCATATCCTCAAAAGAATTAATATCCTACAACACAAACTGTTAAAATATACTTAGAAATATATGCGATAACAACACAACCAACTAAAAATTAAAACATCCTTCTTAAAAAAATTTAAGTTCTAATTTTGAATTATTTCAAAGATAAAATGAATTTCAGATTCGATTGAAACATTTCGGTTTTGTTTCGCTTCGAACTAACATAGTGTGACAACCTCTGTTACGGTTATCTGAAAATTGTGAAAGCGGTTTTGTTTTTTATGTCACACAACGGTGGTCGATCAGAATGACAACGGTGGTTAAAGTTAGTGCAGTTCGCGATGTCGTCGTGCAGCTCCTCGCCCCGTCCACATTAACTTGTAATAGTGAAACCTCTGATACCTTACACTTTCGATTGCTTTTATGTTGTCCGCTATAACCCATTATAAAGAATATGTTTCACTGTTCATGTTTTAATATACTAATAATTACCTGCTTGCGCCTATTTATGAGTTATAATAAACGAGCGTTGTGCGTATATTAAACACTTTGCCGGGGCTTCCGAAATATAAAATTTTGGACCTATATTAGGAAACACCCGCCGCACCAGCGACCGTCCCCGCTGCTGTCACCCCGGAACAGCAGTCAACCGTCAACCAAGTGGCGTCCGAAGCTAAGACACTGGTAGACAAGACGACTGCCGAACTGAAACCGGCCCTGGATCAAGCGGTGCACGACAAGATCAACCCGTTGGCGCAGGACCTGGCCAAGAAGCTGCAACCGATCACAGGCGACGTGTCCGCGCACATCAACACGGCGCTGGCCGAGGGTGTCAAGCAGCTGAACCCAATCGTCGACGACGTGTCCGCGAAGGCCAAAGGATTTGTTGACGATACTGCCAAACAGGTACGGTTTGCCTGCCCGTCCGTCGACGACCGCTGACGATATCTATAGAATATCGCGGTTCGATATTACATGATAATAACGATATAACCCTTGAATTATTTGTTCCATAATCCCCCCTCCACCCCAATCTCTTTGGGTTAGGTCACCGAGATCTTAATCGCACATTATCATATGACATGTCCTATAATATTTAAATATTATAAATACGTATGTCAGAACGCGCGTATTCGCCGTTATTATATAATATTATATTGTATATAACAACAGGTAGGTGTGTCTTGTGGGTATATAACGTAAGAAAAACAGACGCAAACGTTTTATGGTCGTTGCTGTTATACGATATTATGTATTATTTTATACGTAATATGTATGCGGCCTATTCACATTTATCGTTGATATTATATTTTATATCATTAAATGGCTCTAAATAAAGACGAGGTGAGACTATTTTATGCATAAATATTGTATTAGTATATGGTTTTCTGATTTTATGACGTAGTGTAGTATATATATCACATGCGAATGCAATAACGATATTTCGGTAATTTTATTTTTTCATATCTTTTTTTTTTTTTATTTATATATTTCCATCACACGCCACACCCGGTTGTTTTAGTAGTTATATTGTCATGCAGCTTTGTATAGACGCGTATGCATATATACACATATTATGATTTATACTCTTATAAATATATATATAATTATAATATATAATATGTATATGGATGTATTACATTATATAGTTGAATGTTTCTCAACCCCTCCGAGACAGTTTATATATGTTTGACTTTTTACACAGCCACAAATTACAGTTGAATTCGATTAATGCCTTGTATGGGTATACGTATACAGTTTGTTTGTGACATCGAAATTCAATTAAACTTACTCGCCAAGTATTTTGAAACAATATTTTTGTTTACAATTCACGTTTCGACGTTAATAGTTTTACGAAAAAAAGTAATTAATAAATAAATAATAGCTATCGAAAGAGTCTTACTGTTTCAGGGTTGAGAAACGCTAAATATATATTGTACGTATACAGAGTGCTACTATTGAAAAGACTGACTACATGTAATTAACTAACTGTAGGTTTATATGGGATATATTTGCATTCCATATGTAACAAGAGTTAGTATTAATTATATATTTGTCAGCTATTTCTGTTACACTCTGTATATACCAGTTGGTTAATTTATCAAAAAACACTCTCCATTTCCAAAAAATATTAACGATTTTGAAAAAAATCGATATATTTACTATTTTTCAAGCTTTTATAGTATTTTTTGTGCTATGAAAACATTCATTTTTAATTTCTTGTTTCAAAGCAAAATATTTTTCCGAGTACACACATTCGATACATAACGATTTTTGACACGTAATTTATGTGTTATAACTAATAAATATTTAACTATAAGTACTCATCTGAAATTAAGCTTTAAATATTAAATATTTTGCTCTAGAACACGAAATTAAAAATGTGTGTTACAATTTAAAACGTAAAACAATTACATCTATACGGCATTTTAATTACAAAATATAATTATTTTCAAAAATTTTGGCTTTGTATGATATATAATCATGCAAAAAAATATTTCAAAGGATTAATAAGTGTTTTGAGTTAAATATAATTCACCCACCCGTAGTCATTCATTAAATTATCATTTATCATGTCACGAACCACCTGAACCACACCAGCAGTGTAAATTAAAGGTGATCTTTCGATCACAAAAACATCAACTCGATATCACTCAATCCATAAACCAACCTGACAGACTTAGATGGGGAAGTCCATCTTACAAGTTTCGTACAACCGTTGGGTCGGGTTGAGAGATATCGAGTGGATTCTGCAAACGACCCGCAGTACACACTACTATAATATAAACTTACTATATTACCGACGGTCGTTTCTCAAAAACGTGCGTATGCGGTTAATTTATATATGTTATACGTATTTAGTACTGTGTACTTACGGTGGTTCTACTGTTCAAGACATTATATATAATTATTAATCGTGCGTTTTGTTTTTGTTCGCGTCCTTTCGCATATTCGCAGGTGAGCACTGTGGTGGACGACAAGCTTAAGGAGGCCGATCAGTTGATCAGCGAGAAGCGTGAAGCTCTCGGGGAACCGGCCAAGAGCATTATGTCCAAGGCCAAGGGATTGTTCGGCTGTAAGTTAGGTTGCTGTACTATCATGTAGGAAAAAAATTCTCACACAAAACTCGTGTACGCACAGCCTATATACACACTGTCGATGTATATTGCCAGTAAGAATAATCTTTATCGGTTGAACGTTTGTTTATTTTATTTTTATTGATTTTTGATTTTTCACATATAATCGGAACGATTGCGGATAACGCGTATATAAAACGCATGTCATGCGTGGATTTTGTATGGTGGCAGTCTATAGTAGTATTGTAATGTATGTAACACAATCACATTTTTAATCGCGTCCAAAAAGTATTTATTTGTATGAGCATACAATAACAGTAACAACAATACGTAAGCATATTGCAGTGTTAGTGTTACAATAGTTTGTTGTTTTATAATAAATAACATAAAAAAATCAAAACAGTTTTCGCCGTCTTCAACAATTTTCGTTGTTTTAAACGAGACCCATATGAATTTTTTTCTTCTGCACTGTACATTATGACCTAAAACAATGCTGGTACAAATTTGCAATAATATGTGTACAATTAGGCAATATTATGGTAAGCTTAGATTAAAATATACGTTTCGATATAAATCAATAATACCATATGTTTTAAAGACGATGACCTAATTCAACATTAATACTGAACTATAGGTATAAGTACTCGTACCTAATAATTTTAGATTAAGTTGTGTGCTGTAACCAGAACTATAAACTCAAATATTTATCGTACCTATTAATAAATTGCAACGTGAATTCCAAAAAATCGTGAGATACAAATTTGATCTTTTATACGCATTACCATCTCAAAAATAGTGTTTATTTTTAAATTTTTTTTTTTTTTATGTTCGGAAAAACAGTTTAAAATTTAGCGCTCCAAATCAATATATAATCATAGATTTTGTAATAAAATATAACATAATGTTTAAATATAAATTATTTCAAAAATATTTTTTTTTTTACAGAGCACATTATCTATTTATTCTGTTTCATCTAATTATAATGATTATTGTTGTAGATTTAAATATTCCATTTTATTATTAACTGTTCAATTTTGTGCTGTAATTTTCACAATACTTATGAATTTATTTTATTAGGTTTATTCTGGAGAATTTCAAATATCTTGAAATTTTATTCTAAATTTTTTTGTTTTTAAGTACATATGCGAACGTAAAACTCATGGTTAGTGCATTAAATACACAGCCTAGATAAAACCATTATTGAATAGTTGTTTTACTAAATCCCATGAAGTTTTAATTTATAGAATGTATTATGTGAACTGTTTAACATAAAAAAAAAAATCAGTTTGAGGAATCATTCAGTTTTTATCAAACCATTCTCCACTAACCACAATTATATAATATAATTACACAAATAGTATTTATACTCATAAAAAAAAAAATATCAATTAAAAATAATAAATAATAGTTGAAGACATACAACTTCCTAATATATATATATATATATATATATATATACACTTAATATGCTAAATATTGTTCATAAAAAATATATTGTACGCGTTTGATGGTGTCTTATTATTAATTATCTGCTGGAGTTAATAAAGAAAATAAATCATCATGTTTTCACATAATATTAGGTACTTACTTAATTAATTAATTAAATCATATTTTTTTATACTAATTTATCTTGGTTAACACACTAATACATAATTTTTTAATATATTTAATACTTATATACATTAACATTATTTAAGCACATAACAGTACAAAGAGTTACAAGATGATTTTTTTATAAAATGTAAACACTAAACTTATTTTTTCGAAAAGTTTTAGTACATTTAGAAATATTTTTGTCACATAATTTAAAATTATTTCTAACTAATTGAAAAAATAATTTTTTCTATTTTTTATAGTTATCATTTTTATGTTTTTATTTTTATTTTACTTATTTGAACAGCATAATGCAATAGTATATTTCAAAAAAATATTCTGAAACTATAAGTACATAAAAAAATCGAAGATTTTTTCTAGTTTAGTAAGAAGTTTGCAAGTTCAAAGTTTAAAGTACTCAAAGATTTGATCAAAATTTGTTGGACTAACATTTTACAGGGATACCACCCTATGATACTCCACTTTGTTCAACATTTTAAACATTTATAACCAACTATAAATATGCGTTAAAAATTCGTCAAAAAGTTTTCCACTCCGGAATATGAAATTAAAAATTTACTACACTGCTATTCAAATTAGTAAAAAAAAATGTAAAAAAATCATAATGATGACTAATAGTAAAAAATATATTGTTTAAAAAAAAATGAATTTAAATTATGTAACAAAATTTTTCAAAAATAAATTAATTTCAATTAAAACTTATTAAAATCACTTTGCATACTTTTTTCACCTTTTTAACACTTTATAATACACATCGATTGTACATAACAATATAATACTTAATTAATCGTAATATCATTGTTTATTAACACGTTTGTGTAATTCCAGTAAAGTTTAAATAACATATTATATTGTTAATGGACATGTCATAATACCTAACTACCTCTATACGCTAATTTAACCATCTGATCTTTGGTTTTTTTGTTTTTTTTTTTCTGTTTTCAGGAATCAATCAACTACTAATCACTACGTATTATAATGGGAGTAGCGAGTTGGCTATAAAACTGCTATAGTGTACCTATACTAACTGCTAAACCATTTTCATTTTACTCGTTTTTCATGATACCTACATAATATTTCACATCTATTACTTATGATATAAAGAAGCATTGCTTTAAGTAGCACATACACATAATATAATAATTATAATTTTTTCCTTAACTTTATGTTTATTGGAAATTGTAGTCATTTTAAAGTGTACTCTTGATTTTCAATATTTATTTTTTTTATATATACACGTGATTTATTTTATATCATTATTATTATTATAAACATTTTACTATTAATCTATTTTTGTTTTTATACATCATTATACATGTATATTTATGCCTCCAGTTGTTCATCGTGTAATCTACATTCTTATAACAATTTAAATAATCAATACCGTATTTTACAATTACCTACTGTTCTCGCAGATAAATGACGGTAAAAATGTTCCATAACATAAAAAATATTGTAATAATTCATTATATAATATTGTAATGTATTCAATTAACGGTCGAGCACACTGATAATAAACGATATGATTATAATTTATAATCATATGGTCATGATCATAATCGTCCACAAACATTTTATTTTTTATTGTTATGATATTTTTGTTTACTTGAAATCATTATTTGGTATAATATACGATTAACACGCTTGCTAATTTTCTAAATGAAAACATATGTCGTTGGTTTTTTTATATTATCGTCGGCAACCGACGATATTGGATACCTGTAAACTGTTATTGATGGTGGCGTATTTATACAAGGAAGGGTATATAGGATTCCATTCACTTCGAAGGGGTTTATAATATTTCTTTATATTTTCTTAGATACATAATTCTCAATAAAATGTCTACTTTTTTAAATTTCAATATATATTTTATTGGTACATAATATGAGCGATTTCGCTCAGATATCGAGTGATATTTATGCAATTACTTAAACTTATAGAATCATTAATTATTTTTAAGTGTTTTATGGGCTCTTAAAAGATTATTACTATTATAATTATATTCCCTTTGAACAAAACAAAAAATTAATCATAAATACGCCACTCTGGTAATTACTATCTATTAAAATTTAAAACAGTGAGTGCCCTAGAGTACGTGCGCATGTCGAATTGCGGTGGTAATTATATTACAGTAGTTAGACGTTTTTTAGCGGTATTTTGCATCGTACTATGCGACTGATATGCTACTGATATGGCGTCTTATACTTTGTTTTTAATTTAAATTTGTTTTTTTTGTTTTTTTTTTTTTTTAGTTAAAAAATGAACACACTGGGAATCCACGATCGATAGACGTTCACAAATAGATCGGGATCATTATTATTATTATACATACTTTAAGTATCAATTTCTTTAAAACATATATTAATTTTATATTATAATATATATTAGTTACCTACCTATATACATAATTATACTTATAATAATATTAAAACTTTTTGTTTATTTGTACTATCTATCTAGTATTTAATATCATAATGCGTTTATTTTTAAAAACAAAACAAATTGAACGCTACGCAATTGTAATTATTTTTGAAAGAAAAAAAAATTAATAAATTATATTATGGTATAACAACAACATAGTATACAATTCATTTAAGTAGGTATAGTTTGATGGCCATATAGTGTGGTGCATATTTAATAATATAGTCATATACATATAAATATATTTATTAATTTATTGTATTGTTATAAGTAGATAAAGTTTTAACATTTTTTAATATCCCATTCTTATGAATTTAATATTTATGATAACAATTATTTGAAATCAAATTTTAAACTGTAGTCGTTCCTAGACTTATGCAGTATAATCTGAAATAATAAAATATAATAATAAGTTTTTGTTCACACGACCAAATAAAATACATCATATTCAAAAAAAAAAATAAATAAATATATCTATTAAAATGACTATAAAATATGCTATTAGTGATGTATCAAATATTTATCATATATTATTTAGGGATAGTTTTTGTAGACATATAAATTTAAATTATTAAACAATTTAACTGATGTGGAATATTTTATAGGCTATTTGTTTAGTTAATTTAGGTCATATATAATATCAAAAACCTATGATCTTTTAATCAAACGAAGATATGTTAAATTGACAGCATAGGGGCGATCATTAGCACATAATTTAGTAGTTTTACATTAATCATTATATCAATTACATCATTTTTACAAAGTAGAACATAAAGATTAGTAATCGAATTTCGAGTAGGTAGGTCATGTTGTAAGGACGTTAATCTTCTACATAATATGGTGCGAAATTAGTTTTTATTTCAGAATTAAAATTTAGCACACCCATTATATAGTGATCCACTCGAAATTTAATACATATCAGTATGGTACTTACTTCCTTACCTTTTTTTTTTACTATGTATATTAAAAATAATTATATTTACCGTGTTCAATATGGTATGTGATTTTAAGTTACGACATAAAAATTAATATAAAAGTTACACACTATTATTGTTATTTTAAAAGTAGTCATTCATTATAATTATCTTTTTGTACATGTAAAAGGAATCTACGTAAAAAAATTTCCAATAATAATGATTTAAACAAATCAGTGTAAAACAATTTCTTATATAATGAAATTACACATTTTTTTTTAATTTCGTACAGTACCTAAGCACTACCAATATTTTATTGAATACACTGTGTATTATTCTAGGATCAGATACCAGTTAATTGATAACTATAAAACAGTGCATTGTGTAATATCATAGTGATATTAAGATTATGTTCAATTTTATTAATTACAATTTTTTATCCTAGTATTCTTTTAAGTTGATTCTAAAATTGTGTTCAATGCAACTTGAATACATTTTTCTTTTTAAAAACAATAATCAAAATAATCAAAATCCTAGTACTCTACGAGAAATCAAGGTGTGATCGTTTTTCCTGTTAAGTCATTTTTGACGGTTGAAACCAATTGATTTTATTTTTTCATACTATTATTATTGTGCATCACTAACATGACTAGTAACATGAAATCACTCTGATTCATTTCTTGATAAAAAAGCGGTTCTGATTCTACTTTTTTCTTTTTAACATTTAAAGTATACAAAACAAACATTATTTAGGTGAATAATAAAATAATTAAGTTGAGTATTGACTGACAAAATTTATTTTAAAATTCTAATACACAATTGAATGTTTAAAATAGGCATGTACACATTTATTATTATCATACATAATTTTATACCTATTATATTACATCCATGCACTATTACAGCGTTTGGACGATTATAAAATAACTAAGCTAATAAAGAGTTATAGAATTACTCTATATTACTGTATAATAAAAGAAGGTATTTAATGTTAATAATCATTTTAATAAATAAAATATTACTATGCTGAAATAAAAAAAATTAATAATAATTACATTATTTGCATGTAACTAATAGCAACCCGCGTGTTATTCAATCATTCAATTAATCTATTTGGGTTGTAAACCATTTAAGAAAATGGAGCAAACATGTAAATCTGAAGAATCGGATCCAATCAAGGCAATCATAGAAACAAATTAAAATGAAATAGTTGCTCAAAAATTGTGCATGAAATCACAAAACATAAAGGAAACGAATTGAAAAAGACATTGAAAGAACAACATAAGTTATTTCTTGCGAACCAAGTACGAATCATCAGTTTGGTTGACACATTCCGTTTTCCTAAATTGCTTGTAGCATTTGCGATTACAAATTTTAATACAGTCTTTACACTTATAAAACTATTAATTAAAATTAATTTGAAATCACACATAAAAGTTATAATAATTATTGTTATTATATAAATTGAATTTATGAAAAAAATATTTGAACTATTATGTATTATTATATTAATTTTATGTAAGTTTCCACTATCAAATTATTATACGTTTTATTGTTAATAGTTATTTTACGTTGTAAACGTGTATTTAACAATATTATGATAACATTTTATGTTTATATTTTTTATTTATTCGTGATACAAAATATAGTTTTACGACTAAACATGCTTTTTGAGGTTAAATATGTATTGAAAATGTAAACAAAAATAAATTCTAAATATTTTATGCATAACATATTAAGATTCATAAAATGAGAATTATTATGGATTTTTTTTTTTTAATTCATTAAAGAAAAAATCATAAAAAACCGTGTACAGAATTTTCAAACTTTAAGTATATGCATATTAAAATTGTATGAATTTATTACAAAATAATTCACAGTATTTTATCATTTTTAACGAATTTTTGTTAAAATTCCTGCTTTAAACGCTCATAAAAATTACGCTAAATTTACCCTCAATGTTTTTTTAATATCAGTATTTAAAAACTTATAAGGAATCTTGTCTCAAAACATGTAGGTACCTATTTCAGTTTCGAAACACATTATTATCACACGGCGTTATGGGTATGCAATAAAGGTACGGTGATGTCATAAATTCATTTTTCCAAATTTCCATGATAACCACAATTTATTACTAGTAATAGGCAACAATATCGACAATACTTTTTACCCGTTCAAATATTTAGCATATATTTAGTAGCAAGACCAAACCTGAATAGTGAACGCCACTCTACTGCACTAGAAATCCGTTATCCATATTCGCACGTTTTCCCAGCATCCCGTGAACATAAAAAGATTCAATTTTCAAACTTTTTTATTTTACCAATAATTAAAACATGATTAGCAATATTTTGTACGTGCACAAAGGTGTCCTTACATCACCATCATTTTATTTGAAAACTTTTAATTCATTTTTAAAATAATTTGCAAATCAATAAATTTTTTTTTTTGGTAAAATTTAAGTTAGTCTAATCGTTAAAATAGTCCAATCGAATTAATAAATATACAAATTTTTAATTCAATTTCTTATATTATAATTTATTTATTTTTCATTATACTGTAGTCTTTTATTTCTATATTATAAAAAACAATTAGTAATTAGTTTGCAAAATATTACTATATTTTTTGAATCGATCAAATAATGGCAGCTAGGAGAAATAAATTGTAACATCAACAACAGAGGTTATTAGTTTAAGATTTTAAATCATACAATGCATAATAAATAGTTGGTTAGGTATACAAAGTTAACTATCACAGATAGCATTTTAGGTAAGGCTCAAAAGGGCAGTTGTCTCCCAGAAAAAATATTGAGAGGGTAATCTTATCATTTTGCCCCCTCCTAAGTTGAATAATATTTAAACTATTTTTATAAAATATGTTGAAATTACTTTGTACAATTATTAAAGAAAATTATTCCCCATGTTAAGTCAGATCAATATTATCAATATTACCATAATTTAATATAAATTTTATAAAATATAAGAGTGTAGGAGTGTGAAATGTTATCTGTTCTTATTCAGATAGTAAGTAAGTAAAAATGTAGGTGGAATGTATTAGATAAGTTAAATATAAGAAGATTTTTAAATGGATCAGTAAATTTTGATTTTATATACTCAATAAGATCAGAGGTGGTCTCGCACATAATCTACATATATTTATACATACAGTAGACGCCGCTTATAAGACTCACGGATATAAGGTTCAGTCGCTTATTAGACTCAAAATCGTCTGGAACAGTCTGGTATGTATGTATGTCTGGATGTATCCAAATACATTTAAAACTCAACACTTCGGTTATAAGGCTCAAATTTCGTAAAATAAATAGTAGAAA